TATCCCTCTCGAGAAGCTTGTGTTCCTTCCATCGTTGCTCTTTGCGCCTGGCTGCACGCTCTGTCTTCCTCTGTTCGCTCTCTTGGTCGTCCTGCTTGCGCTGAGCTAGCTGTCGCTTCTCGATCTCGGCGCGACGTTTCTGTCCTGTAGTAGCAGAGTTCTGTGAGAGTGCACCCAAGGCGGCGCCAAATAATCTGCGCTCTCGTCCTCTCTCGCGTCGCACAGGGGCAGGCTTGTCGTCTTTTGTGTCTTTGGTAGTAGATTCACGTCTTTCTTGGATGGCAGTATCATTCTCGAGTCGCGGTCGCTTTGAGGTGTCTTCTGATAGTGATTCTTGTCGTCTCTTGTGGCCGTTTGCCGGGGGTGAGGCTGGCAGTGATAGTTCATCCGGGAGGACTACAGCCGATGCAATGGGTCCGTCCATAGCAGTATCGCGCGTCGTCTATGGGGTTTCTGGACGCTTCTGATATGTGCTAAGCAGTATCAGAGAAGCACGCGTGGATGTCATTGGTGTAGGTGGCCCAGGGATCTCGCGATGGAAGCTTCGTGCACGGAGCATGGGTTCAGTTCACGCTAGCAGCGGACCACCGAAGCTGACTTTCACGACCGACTTTCTGTCTCACTGTCACGCGCCACCACCATACCAACGCCCCCGTCACGACGAGACACCAAGCTCTACTAAACCTGCGATACTGAACACGTCCATATTCGTCACCACCCTCATAACCTTCCGTCATGTCTCGCCATCATCCGTAAGTACCCTCTCACCTCAAAGAGTCGCGCATACTAACACTTGTCGCAGCGATCTCGTCATGTGCCGCAAGCAGTCTGGCATCTCCATCGGCCGCCTCTGCGACAAGTGCGACGGCAAATGCCCCGTTTGCGACTCCTACGTGCGCCCGACCACCCTCGCCCGCATCTGCGACGAATGCTCCTTCGGCAACTACCAGAACAAGTGCGTCGTATGCGGTGGCGAGGGTATCTCAGACGCCTTCTACTGCTTCGAGTGTACGCGCCTGGAGAAGGACCGGGATGGATGTCCGAAGATTATAAATCTGGGTAGTAGTAGGACGGATCTGTTCTACCAGAAGAAGAATTTCAGGAATCATTGAGGTGGCTTCAGTTGCTGCTCTGGGCGCCGTCACATGCGTTCGGAGAATGGCAGAATCTACAGAAATATATGGATCTCGGTTATATGGGAGAGTGTACAAGGAATAGCATGGGAAGAAGCATGGAGTTTGGGCGTCGCGGCAGCATCCTCAAGCGCCGCGATGTAGACAAAATGGGTTACGGCGTTCTAAGATACCTCAACGATCTATCAATGGTATTTCTACCACTTTCTCTGCCTGGTGGCATTGCTGACAAGCTTGCAAGATCTATTTGCCCTCTATTTCAGACATACTAGCCTTGCGAGTTTGTTCATTCAGCGGCTCTTGCAAAATACAACTTACTCTCCACCTATCCACTGCGTTTCTGATCACCCACTCGCGTCTGTACTCCATCAGCCAGTCCAGGCTACCTCGGTGTTCCCACCTCATCGCCGGCGTCTTCCCCTGTTCGGCATAGGTTCAAAAAAAGATCAACATGGCAAAAAGGATAAAAACATACAACAGCGGGGATTCGCTAGTGGTCACCCACCTAACTACTAATCCGCCGGTACAATGCTTGTATATGGCTGAGCGGACGGGAAGCCTAATTCTCATTGTCCTATGGTCGTATGTGAAGGAATGGGCAGCCGGAGAGATCATATAGTCGTATACGGAAGACTTGCACCTCACACTGAATGGAACCCGCCGGGCTTCTCTTTCATCACGAATCCTCTTGCGGTAGTCCGAGTGAGGGGATAGCCTCAGATGCGCAAGGTCAAACTAACGTCGGCCTCGCTTGGCTAACAACACCGTTCCGAACCCACGCTTGTTGCAATGTGATAGCTGACAGCTTGGTCAATCAGCCTATTGCAGAAGCCTCTATTGCCATGACAGGAGAGATTACACATGTTCTGATATCCCGGCTGCCTAGCCGTCGTGTCAATGCCCAGCCATGCTGAACGACTTTCGAGCAAACTTCGGAAGGAGCGAAACCCGTCACTGCCTTGACAGCGGGTTCCGTTACGCGTAAGGGGCTGGCCCGAGGATAAGCCCTGTAAAGACGTCACCACCTGCAAGGACGCAAGGTACGACAACGGCAGTGCAGCTAAGCTGGAGGTATTCCAGGCCGATAGTTCATGCAAAACCATTTTGCTTTTCCGGAATAATTGAGCGCAGGGCTTTGCTTCGGCTCCGATATCCTGGGTCCGGCGAGAGCGACGTCGAGAACCATCCCGAGGTCCAGAACGTCGGGCTTCATGGTGTTGAAAAATGAGGTCGGCTTAGGTTTGCTATTTCTTGCGCTATACCGTCTGACCATATCACGCAGCGGAAAACGGTAGTGCATAAACTAGAGCGTGCGGGGATGCAACTAGGGGGATGTGTGGCGTAAATGTCTAAGAGGGGAAAGACAGGATGATAGGGAGTGGGCGACGGGCAAGGCTTGGAAACGAGAAGGGTCGGTACGCTATCGACCCGACCCTTCTTTAGTTTCGCCACGCCTGTGACGTTTGTTCTCACTGCTGAGCTACACAACTCACGCATTTTACGGCCGCGAAGCGATGACAAGTGCCTGGGTACCTCGATACACGTCTACTGAACCCATTGAAACACCGCCATTCGATGCGCAGATACATCCATCCACCATCTCAACCGTTCATCACAGTTAGAGACGAAATGTCCGAACCCAAAAAAGCAATCACCAAGCAGTGACCCACAGTTGTTGCCATGAACTCCAGGTCTCGGCCATACCTACCCCGTGGAGCTGTTATGATCTAAGAGAACGTGGAGCCCAAAAAGCAGCAAATCAGAACTTGAAAATAGCCGAGCAGTGTAGTCAGAGGGGTAGAGTCAGCTCTAGAGGGGCGTCTACACTCCCGGACCTTGGTGAACGATGCCACTAAGGGTCTCTTTGGCACTGTATCGTCAGTGGCTCAATACACGCGTTTTAAGCGCGATAACACACGAGCTTAGAGCTAGATGATGTTGATACTACGCTAGTTGCCCCAGCCTCATGTACCTTGGTACCTTTCCCTAAGTCCCTTTTGCTTTTGCCCGGAGCGTACGATCCCCAGTTGTTCCGCGAACATCCAGCCGCAGGCCAGGAAAGTAACAGTACCCACCCTAATCAGGCGTAGAATCAAGATCAAGCGCCGGAGGATATCCAGAAACAGCAAGTGCACGTGATTATAGCAACTGTCACGCCCAAATGTGGGCGTTGCCACAGAAGGTCCTGACAGAAGTGGCTTCAAGTGACAGCGGATTTGCCGCTATGTTTGCGCTGATCGTAGACAGACCTGGATTAGTTCCGTCTCTCATGCAGACTACTGGAGACAGTGAGCTCTTCACGTAGGGGAGTTTGGTATCACAACTCCAGACCGTCACCCTAAAGTTCGCTTCGAACTGTGGCGTACTCTCTTATCATCGAGGACACTATCATCATGCGATGGACGAAATGACATCTTGGAACGAGGCTTGCGCTTGAGACTCACAATGACCTCAACCGCCATTAGTGCCAAGTCTCGTACGTTTTACCGAGGGGCTTCTTGCATCCAGACGAGCTGGAGTGAGTTCAGCTATGCTTGGTGTAGCCTGGGCAGACATGATCTCGATCGGGGGAAGGTACAAGCCATGAGAGCAGATAGAGGGTGCGCTTCACCTGAGCAAGCTGGAGTGTCTATATAAGACCTACCACCCTTCGCCCATAGCCATCATCATCATCAGAACAACTCACAGCATCACAACTACTAAGCACCTTTCTTCTCATCATCCCATCATCTTTTACAACCCAAACCTCCTCTTCATTCCAACACCAAGATGAAGCCTTCCACCATCCTCTCCGTCTTCACTGTGGTAGCCACTGTCTCAGCAGTGCCCACCATGGAACTTGAACCGAGAGCAGCTCCAACATGCCCTGCCGGAAGCTTCAAGCAGATCTGCCTGCCCGGCGGACTGTTCAACATCATCAACACGCTTCTCGGCAACATCCTCGGCACTGTCCAGATTTTCGGTACCCCTTGCGGCGGCACGATCAAGTGCTGCACTACTTCCTCTGGAATCGGCTCCAAGATCAAGGTCAGCGGACTCAAATGTGTCGCTCCTACTACGCCAACCACCCCGACCATTCCACCCGTGGTGTCTGCACTTCCACCTGTCATCCCACCCGTGGTTTCTGCCATCCCGCCTGTGGTGTCTGCCATCCCACCAGTCATCTCTGGTGTGGTTTCCGCTATTCCACCAGTGGTCTCCGCTGTCGTCCCACCCGTGGTTTCTATCGTAGCACCCGTGGTTTCCGGTGTGGCTTCCGTCGTGGCGCCTGTGGTTTCAGTCGTAGCGCCTGTGGTTTCCGGCGTGGCCTCTGTCGTTCTACCAGTGGCAACACCCATCCTTGAACCAGTAGTCTCCGCCGTAGTACCAGTGGCGACACCCATCCTCTCCGTCGTAGTACCAGTCGCGACACCCATCCTAAACCCAGTACTCTCTGCGGTCGTGCCAGCGGCAACACCCATCCTAAACCCCGTCGTCTCCGTCGCTGCACCAGTCGCAACCCCCATCCTTGGACCAGTACTTTCCATCGCTGCACCGGTAGTAACACCCATCGTTCAACTTCCGGGCATTGGACTCTAGTTTCGATATTGCAAGCAGATGTTAAGCTGTAGGATGCGACGTTTGTACCGCTTTGGATTTCTTACTACACTCATTTCAGGACTATCATGGACTCGGTTCGGGGGATTTGCTTTCTACAGCGATGACTACACTCCTTTTGTCTCACTCATGTACTTGGAATAGTGATATAGTATGAATAAAAAAGCGATTAGCGATCAAACAAACCCTTCAAAGTTTCTGTTCTGGTGCAAAAAGAATCGAAGCTTCGTTGAGAAAGCACACGCAGCTGCAATCCATTGCCCAGTCAACTCACTCAACCACACTCCCAAATCCCTCCTTCTCCCTCATACCCCTCCCCTTCGCCTCGATCTTATCATTCTTGACCATACCACCCACCTTTTCCACTACCTTCCCCAAGAGAGAATCTGGCTCTGGCCCGCTCATCTCCCCCGTCTTATTGCCGTACCCTGCGCCGCCTGTAGATCCGCTGCCCATGGCTGTCCCATTGGAATAAGGCGCTGTGTCGGAGTGGCTGCCAAAACGAAATTCAGAGGTGTCGGTGTCGGGAGTGGACGAGGAGCGTTTGTTTCCTGGGTAGGTGTTAGGAACGTTAGGCGTGTGCGTGGGAGAGCGTTTGCATAGGGAGGGCGATGAGAAGAGGGAAGGGGGAGGGTGGAATTACCGAATCCTGCGCCACCTGTTATACCTGAGCCGTGCTTTTCGTGGGGGTTATGGTATGGGGTGTGAGAGTCTACGAGACCGAGACGTGTGGTGCTGTGTTGGTCTTGCAGGTCTTCTGCGGTGTAGTCTGGGGCTGTGCGGTTTCCATAGCCTGCCATGTTTGCTTGTGATTATGTGACAACTTTGAGTGTTTGGGTGTATGTTCAGGTTGATATCACTCGATATCGGAAAGTATGGACGGTAGGTAGTAGGTAGTGTTATGTTACCACGAATACGCGGAGATCCATCGTGGACTATATATCGTTCATGCACCCTTCCTTTACTATCTGCCGTGTGCTAGCCCGAGCATAACTGGCATGTGTTAAGGAGTCCAAAAGCCTTATGAGGTCACCTTGCTGGGGGAGGCGTAGATCATGCGATCAGAAGCTCTATAAGAGGGTGGAAGACCCGGCCAAGGTGTGCTTGGTATTCCTTGTAGTACGCTAAGTTCCGCTTATGTGGGTCGGAGGAGATAGTGGCTAAACTGAATCCTACGTGAGCTGTCGATGCTATGCAAGTTTGCGATACCGGGGCCGCTTTTGATTGATCCTTGGATACTTTTGGATCGAACGAGCCGCTGGCCTCAACTTCACGATGGTTCCTTTTTCACGCCTTGAATGCGTGGTCGGGACTTGTAGGTCGGCACTCATTGGATCGATTTGTTGTAAAGATTGAGGCCAGAGATAAAGCTGACATCCCGAAATGGTGGTCGTCGCCGCTGATCCATGATAGCGATAAGAGTCCCGCTAGGTGCTGTTCCGTCACTGGCTACTCCGTGTCTGCCAAGATCTGGGGTATCCCACACTCCCTAAAGCCCATCTGAAAGATCCAGAACCTGTGCGCCAAGGTGTCTAACGGCAGAAGTGCAATGCATGATAATCGAGAATCGGAAAGGACGAATAGCTGAAGGTGATGACCTCATCGGATATATTTGGACTGTCGCGTGGTGTTAGAAGTATACTGGAGGGTCAATCAAGGGACACATACCATGAATTTCTTGTGGAAGTCGGATCGCAGCATGTCGTTGATGAATTCCTTCTTTTTGTTCCTGTCTTCGGTACCTCGTGCTTGGTTCTTGAACACGACATCGTCGTCCCATCGTCGCTTCATGGTGAAGTCTTTCGCGTTGAGCAAGGGGTTGCCTCGGGCGACATCGATTTCGCGTTGTTGCTCCTCTTCTGCGGCGCGTTCTGCCTCCTCTTTGGCTTTGGCTGCGGCGCGCTCCTTCTTGATCTTCTCTAGCTCGCGCATGAGGGCCGCGGTTTCATCCTCTTCGTCTTCGTCGCTGGGACATCATTAGTCAACGGGTTGGGTGATAACACATCTTCGCACTTACTCGTCGTCGCTGCTCTCGCTCTCACTACTGCTATCGTCGGCGTCCACGTCTCTGAACTTTTCCAAGACTTCTATGCGCCGCCGTTTTTGAGCTGCTTCATCCTCTTCCCCCTCTTCGGCTGCCGGTACAGCATCGATCTGACGCTTGTGCGCATTGCCAGCCTCAGCTGCTGCCTCCGGCTCGACGTAGGTGCCATTCTTCTTCGCGATGTGACGCGCCTCGGCCTCCAGGAGTTCGGCGCGAAGATCGCGCTGTATGTCGGCATCGCCGCCCTGTCCCGGCTGTCTATGCTTGAGTGTTGTGTGCGCTGGGAGTAGTCGCTGGTGGTAGGCGGGTCCTCGCTGAGCTTCTTTGCCGCGCGCGGGATCGAAGGTGGGTCTGTGGGCGGTCGTCATCGTGTCTTTATATTATTTTTCAATGGTACGATGGGCTGGTACGAGTTTCGGAAGTCTTGCGCGTGGTTGACGTGGTGAGTGGTGATGTGTAGAAGAAATGGTGCACAGAAGCTTGAACTCGTAAATCGCGCTAGAGCACCGGCGATTCCAATTCCCCGCCGCCGCATTTTCTATGGCCGTTACAACAACTACCATTTCACCAACAACCTCACGCATTTGCTGCAGAAGGTCAAGATGCCTCGAGAAGCTGAGATATCGCTAAATGAGCGCGAGTTCATCAAGCAAGCGCTGCAGGAACAGATACGAATCGACCGACGCGCATTCGACGCCTTCCGCCCACTCGAGCTCACATTTGGAGAAGAATATGGCGTCGCAGATGTTCAGTTAGGCAAGACAAGGTACATGATTTACTGGGAGGCCATATGCGCAAGCTAACACTTCTCAGAGTCATTGCGCGCATATCAGTAGACGTGACGACACCATTACCAGAGCGCAAGTTTGATGGTATCTTTCAAATAGTCACAGAGTTCTCTCCAATGGCTTCTCCAGCCTTTGAGGTTGGTCGGTATGTTCTTCTTAAGGCCTACTAGCAGTTCGGCATATCTGACTGAAAAATTAGTCCTACAGATGCCGAAGTCATCCTCTCGCGCATCCTCGAGAAAGCCATCCGTCGCTCCAACGCTCTTGACACCGAATCGCTCTGCATCATCGCTGGCTTAAAGTGCTTTGCTCTCCGCGCTGACGTACATATCATCGACCATGACGGCGGGCTGATCGATGCATCGTGCATAGCCGTCATGGCTGCGTTACAACACTTCCGAAGACCAGACGTACAAGTAGAAGGCGAGAAGGCGACCATTCTCAGTGTGCGCGAGCGCGAACCCATACCGTTGTCGATCCTACACCAGCCGCTCTGTGTTACGTTTTCATACTTTGAGGGAGAGATATTTTTGGTTGATGCAAACTTGGCTGAAGAGCAAGTCAGGCAGGGAGAAGTCATTCTCACAATGAACAAGCACGGCGAACTGTGTCAGATTGCAAAGTACGGAGGAGCGACAATAAACCCGCTGGCTCTGCTGAATTGCACGAATGTTGCTCTGCAGAAGGTCAAGGAGATGAACGCGTTCATCCAGAAAAGGCTTGACGAAGACGCCAAAGAAAGGGATGCTGGAGGATTGATGGCAGAGCTTAGCGCTGAGAATGCTAGGTGAGACCTCGCACGAGGCAGAATCACCTTACACAAGACGACACGTCTGGCCAGCAAGCCAGTCTGCGATGCTTCCAAATACTCGCATCTTGGGCGCCGCTCAAGTTCGTCCGAGCATTCCATCCAAAAGGAAAGTTTCTAGAACAGGACGCGACGCGAGCCCACTGATGATGTGGGTCGGTGGTCGGCGGCCCCTAGAAACGCTACTGGGAACACCGAAGACCAAATCGCGAGATGCGAATTTAGAAGTAGCATGCGAATGTGGCTATGGATCGAGAGTTCATGTTGGATGATGATCTATGTGCAGCCGTGTAAATCAACTCATTATGAACTCTACTTATTTACTTGCATCTCGATCTGCAATCGCGAAGTATGCTCCCATCTAAACCCAAGGTTCTAGATTTTGGAGTTTACAAAGCGGTGACGTAGCTGACAAAGCCCGACGCGTCGCGGGACACCTCGGCTCACGCTCCCTGCAATTCCACGCGACACACCAACACCTCACTCGAATGACATTTCTCCACACGCTCATTACGAGCGGACAAATTGTTATCCTTCGAGCGGACCGAGAAATCTGCAGTGGTATATAGCTAAGATCCCGCATCATGGCTGCTACATTGCAGTTTCAAAGTCGCTTCACTCCAATCTTGAACATTGCGTCATCAAGGGTCTCGCCGCATTACGTCTTCTATCCTAGATACCAAGCATCCGGCGCATCCTCACAACATCTCTTCTCTCCACACTGAGTTTCTTCACCCGGATTTTTTACAGTCCACAAAGGCCAGCATGTCGTCGAAACTCGTACCCTCCGACCCCGCTAGTGTTATGGTGATTCGCGACGTTGTTCCGCGCGTAATCACCACTCTGTCAGTGCCCTTCTGGAGATTCGGTCGCGTGAAGATTGGCGGAAGAGGAACGATTGGTATGCTGTGCCCAACGAACACTTCACATGCAACTGCTAACGCGCAAGAACAGTGCGCCTCGAATCCGGTTCCCTCGCCGTCTTCTCTCCTGTCGCATTGACCGAGGATGTCAAGCAGAAAGTATCTGAGATGGGCGAAGTAAAATACATCGCCGCCCTAGACGCAGAAGTACGTATCAGCCCACAAGAACACCTGCGACCGTTATTAACATTATACGTAACAGCACCACATCTTCCTCGGCCCCTGGCACAAAGAATACCCCAACGCGCAAGTCATGGGCCCCGACGTCCTCCCCGAAAAGCGCGCAAAGCAAAACGACGAAAACGTCCCCTTCTCGATCCTCTTCAGCGCCGACAAACGCGTCGAGACCATCTCCCCCGAATTCGACGCGGAGTTCGATTGGGAATACGTCCCCTCGCACGTCAACAAGGAGCTCGTCTTCCATCACCGCCCTACCCGCACTCTCATACAGGCTGATCTCATGTTCAATCTGCCTGCTACAGAGCAGTTCAGTAAAACAGGGGTTGACCCGAATAGCGGCATCTTGACGAAGATCTTTGTGGCGCTGCAGAGTACAAAGGGTGATGCGAAGTGGCAGCAGAGGACTATTTGGTATGGAACTAGTGCGAGTGATAGGAAGGGCTTCTCGGCTAGTATGGAGAGGATCAATAAGTGGGGGTTCAACAGGATCATCCCTTGCCATGGAGACGTCATGGAGGGAGATGGTAAGGGTATCTTTGAGAAGGTCATGAGATGGCATTTGGACGCTGCCGCGCAGGGCAAGAAGAGTACCTGAGTGTGTTGACAGAGATGATGGGGCGTTAGGGGTAGTGCAAAAGCGAGGTGTGTACATTGAAGAAAAGCGCGGAGTTGAGGTGGGTGGGCGATGATACCAGTGGATGAGGGGTTGCTCTTTCTTCATATGTACTAACAACATAATTACATCCTTTATCCTTGCCAGCAAGAATACGTCATGAATGATCGTATCGTCTACTTCCTACCCACCCAATCCGCCATCTCAATATCGTCAGCGAAGTTCTGCTTCCTGACGTCTCTTCCGTCGTAGCCACCCTTTATCTTCTCCTTCTGACCTGTCCAGATCGACGCAATGCCAGCTAAAGTGTAAGGATTCTTATCAAACCTTGCCGCCGGTGCCGGAGGCTGGACCACTACAGGTGGCGTTTGCTGGACCGTATCTTGATACCCACCCGCCGCGTCTCCGGGCTGCTCGAAGAGGATGTCCTCACTATACCCCGGATACCCATACGGCGAAGCCTCTGGCTCCCGCTGTTCGTGCGGATGATGAAGCAGATGTGGGTGCGGTAAATGTAGCTGCGGAACATGGGGGTGCATAACATGATCCACAACCCCCATAACCGTCTCCTTCACCCCATGCGCCTCCCCGTTCTTTCCTTCTCCCTCCCTCGCCTTATTCGGATCTTCGTAACCCCTACCCCCCTTCTTTCTCGCCATACCCTTATTAAACTTCCCGTACCTCGCCGCTTTAGCCATATAGTACGCGATGCCCAGGCCTACGCCTAACAGGCCCACGACGGGCGCACATGTCATAAGTAGCCAGGCTACATGTAGCAGCAAGTCATTCAGCCAGAGCTTCTTCTTCGAGGTCTTGTAGTCTGTGTCCGAGAGGTGTGTAACGAACCAGGGGATGTGGTACACGAGCGATTTCTCGAGGAGGGCGAGTGTGAGCGTGGTTTGTACCGTGAGCAGGGAGAGGCATGCTACGCGGGACCAGTGGGCTACGAGGGGTTTGTTGATGTCGAGGTCCTTGAAGGCTGTCCAGCGTTCTGTGTAGGGTGCGAGGGCGCGCTCGTGGAGGTCTGGAGGTGGGGGTGGTCTCGGTTCTTCTTCTTCCTCGTCCGCTGGCAGGCCTTGCAGCCTTTCTCTCTCTTGGTCTGCGTTCTTTTCCTGTGGCTTTTCGTTCTTGATAAAGTAGAGGAGGCTTATTGGGGCACGCCATAGGATGAAGAAGGGAAGGACGATGGCGAAGAGGACTAGGCTGATGAGAATCTGTACGGTGATGGTGATGGCCTTAATCAGCCGGTCAGGCTGCATGGTGGTAGGCGATCGTATTCGGAGGTGGTTGCTAGAGTTCTGCACATAGTGGCGATGTTGCAAAACGTAGGGATATCTGAGCGAGTAGCATAGGCGCGTGAAGGCTACTTGTGATGAAGTTGGAAAGGAATTTCGTGGAAGACAAATGGTGAAGCAGGAGAGCTGTCTTCACGATGCTGTACCATGTGACGTGCCCCATCAATACGTTATTCTATACTCTGGTGGTACATATTCCAGACCTAGCCCTTCAAAGACCTTCCTCTCAGCATCTTCGGGCGTACCCTGGACTCCATCGGGCCCCTCCAGCATTATGGCTTCGCCGTTACTTCGACTTCGGATACCGCTGCTATCGAACTTCCAGCCTTTGATGGCTTTCGCATACCGCCTCAGATCACGCTGAAAGGTGGTACCGCCACTCCAACCCAAGACTGCGCAACCAACTGACCGCCAAGGCGCAATAATGATGTCGACGCGGCGGTGAATAGCAGGGTTCTTCGCTCTTGGGTTCTCTGCAAGATCCTCCTCACGAGTAGGCCACGCTGGATCTTGCCACACAACGAGTGCTTTGTCAAGCGTATCAAAGCCCGCGCCAGCTCCCTTTGCAGATCGAAGAGGCAGTGCATGTTGACCGCGATTAGTGTTCTTCAAGCTCATCGTAAGAGTGTGAGTAATCCACTCAGATTCCTCCAATGACTCGACAATCTCTCGAACCAAGCCCGCTGTACTCTCTAGCTCCGGGTGCGACACGATCAAGTCCACGTCACCAGAGTCTGTCTTGCCACGTCTGTACCCGCCCACAATCGTGACAGTAATGCGTTCGTCGCGAAGCTTCACAGCGTGTTCGCGAACAACAGCGGCGATTTGCTCAACTTCAGGGCGCGGAATAGAGACCAAGAATTCGTCATAGTACTTGACGCCAATTTGCTGCACTCGGTCCAGGTCGTTCCAGCCCAACTCGATGATATCATCCAATTCAGTCCAGTGGTTGTTGTAGTAGAACTGGCGTGCGGTCTTGGCTCCAACGCCCCAGATGTTGTAGAAGGAACGCAAGACTTTCATTGATTCGTCGGCTTCAAAATCTTCAACCGCTTGAATCTTGCCGGTGTTCTTCCATTCTACAAAGAGGACTTCAGTTTTCTCGTCACAACCAGGTAGTTGAGCAATCTCTCGGGGGTGACTAAGGCTGTACGGATATGCAGCGATAGAAGCGATGATGGTTGAGTACGCACGAACGCCTATGTCGTCGTCGATCAATGTTCGAGCAGTCCTTATTTTCTTGAGCTGATCGAGGAAGTCCTCATTGGGTCCGTTACCAGGTGTGAAGCGCTGACATGAATACTTGACGCCCTTCTTCACCCAATCCGGTGCTGCAGGGATATCGCTATCCTCGCCTTCATACTCACTGGTCGTTTGCTGCAGTAAATGTGCAGCTTGTGAAGCGTACAAGTGACCAACAGGCTGGGAAGAGCGGGCGAAAGCCTTTCCATCGAAGCGGTTAGAAGTGTGATTTCCGAATCTTTGCGGCTGATAGGTACTTTTCTTCGTGGTCGTCTTCATGTCTAGTTTCGCGCGATCTAGGATGTCTTGCACCGGATGTGGTCGTGTTGCCAAGAGTGTCTGAGATGCCGGCGCTACTTTTGTGTGCGCGCCGAAAATGTCTTTGATAGACTTCTTATTCAATGATTTAGGTCGCTCAATGACTTTACCCGTGTAGACCAAGTTGTCTCCCAAAGGAAGTAGATGACCTGCAGTTACACAAGCTTCTACCCAGTCGAACTTGATAACCCAGATAGTATCGTCAGACGAATTCTCGAACAGTAGCGGAGCCTCTGAGCCATTGTCGGATCTCGAAGGGGACGAGAGAGGAACGTGGTGCTGCTCAGTCTCAGAGCCGTTGCCAGCCTCATCCTCAGTGGTAGAGTCTCCCTCGTCCGCAGACAACTGACCAGACGTTTTACCAAGCCTTCGCCTCTTGTTGGAGTGATCCTGTGCCTTCACAGGACTAGCTGGCCGTTTCGGGGTGACAATCTCCTGAACAACCAGCTTTCGAGCCCTCAATTCGAACTCGGCCCTTCTCTTTGTACCCACCTTCCCAATAAAGACCTTTGCTCTGGAGACATCAGTAGTAAGCGGTGCGTCGTACTGGCGCAACGTTTCCTTGAGCAGCTTCACTTCCTCGTCCTTCAGATGCGCAGTGAAGATTGCAATTGGCGGGAGTCTGCTGAGGTCGAGGGCCTGTGCGGATATCGTGGAGGTTGGTGATAGCGATCCTGGGCGCATTGTCTGGGAAGAGTGTTCATGATCGTCCATATCGGGGTATTTTATGCTGAACCGATTCCTCCAAGCAGGGGTGGTCAAGACGTGTCCAAGAGACGCGTTCTGTGCCTTCGGCTGTCTAGTTGAGATGTCCAGCTGATCATTGTTTGAATAGCCAAGATAAGCGCGATGTTATGTGATGTCTAGGTAGCTGTCCAAGTGAGTATAAAGTCTTCCCAACGTCGCGCGACGGTGATGACGTCCGCGTGATGTGGAGGCTGGGAGTGTTTGCTCTGTTTGCCTTCGATCGCTCTTGCACGCCCGTGCGCCAAGTAGCGCTACGCTAGTGTTAGCGCCCGCGTTTTGACGCGCAATCCATCTGCTACATTCGTTTCATCATGTCCAGCCCAACGTCTTCCAGGCTAAATCTCCGGAATCCTCCAGTTCAACCGCCCGGCGTGCCTGTATCAGACTTGACATCCGCAGACAACTTGGCATGACGGTGGCGTCCCAGGAATCATGCGAGTCGAAACAGCACGCCTAGCCGCAAAGCCGGCGATCGAAACACACTGATCTAGATCTAGAAGTTGGGGAAACATCAGCCGAGTAGTCAAGGCTACAGGCTGGGGGCGCTGATGCACGTCTGGCTCCCCTCAACGGATCTCTGGTTCCTTCCAACTACATCGGGCAGGTCCTTCAGGCATACTGGGCCCCAGCGTCTCGAGGTTATGCAATGGTTCGATGAATCCGCACCAGCGTGTTCAATGCGGTCACAACTGCGCCAACACCACGGGCTAAAGATTGCGCGAACATCCCCTCCCTGCCGTTGATCGTTTCTCTTGGTGCGCGGACCGCTGTTTCGGAATAATTGACAGGCAGACGTAACCTCTGACAGCCCTTGCACCTACCGGTTGGTGGATATATAGTGAGCTTGTCTGGATAAGCTGCGGGTGATGATGCACTTTGGACGAACCGGTCTTCGTTCGCTACTACCCCGGCCGTTCTTGCAGCGAATATACATGTGGATCGCCACTCATTAACGTGCTTTATCTCTTCTTGTTGCACACTTACTCGGGCCTTCGACATTCTTTTCTTCAATCATTTCGCTACTTTTGACAAGAGCGCTGGTCTCTAAGGGTAGCTAGACTACGCCCATTCAGCTTTGACAGCAACCCGTTTCGATCTCACTGAACATCTACACCACCAACCGGACATTCTCTCGTTTACCACACCAAAAATGCGCTCCTTCATTATCATGGCCATCGTGGCCCTGTTCGCTTTCGCGTCTGCCATGCCCATATCACCTTCGGCGCCCCGCCTCCAAAAGCGAGCTGAACAGTATCGCCTTCAAGGACTGCGAGAGGTATGTTGCGCACGTCATCGAACATGAAAAGGATATGGTGACTGACTGTCATAGTTTGAAATCGCCGAACGTCTCTCATCTTCCGCATCATCAGAGGTTGACCCATGGCGCATTCGATTGAACCACAAGTTCCATGCCCTTTTTGACCCGACACCAACCGACGAAGAGGAAGCTTCTTATGATGACGACCAAGAAGACTTTTCTGGAGACGTAGCCCCGGGATCTGTGGAAGCGCCACAAGTTCTCCCCAAGGCTTCAGAGGAAGACAGTCTCTTCGACCGTCTATGCGCCATGTTCCACCGCGCGGAGAGCAACTTGGGGTATGAAGGCAAGGAGCTTGATGTGCGCCGACCTGGAGGTGTGAGGGACTGGAAGCGATCTTATGGAGGCTTCCGACGATAGAGTGCAATCCAAATTTTCATCACTTCACCCCATATGATCATAAACGAGACATCTGGTTCATCTCTAATTGATTCCGTGGTGATCCCAAAGCCTATAGTCCACCTACCCAAATGATGTTCGCGCCCGCTGAGTTAAGTAATAATCCAAAACAATGCCGTCAATCCTCAAGCGCCTGACTAGTTACCCAAAAGACGTGTGTATGACTAGACACCCATAGTGAAATCATGTTCTATACCTGGAGTTACACTGTGGGCTGTTAGAAGATGCTCATTTGTGCAACACGGAGTAAACTTACCTGGCCATGAACTTCAAGAAGACGACAAGATACTGGTCCACGCGGATAGCAACCTCGTCGTCGCCACCTTCACTGAGGACCTCCCAGTCGTCTTTGCCCTCGTCGCCATCCTTGTTCTTTGCCTGCTCAGTGAGCTTGAGCAGCCTGGTATCATCGACTAGTGCCTCCATGCCGCTGTCGAGCTTGCTGACGTCCTTGCCGGCTTTGAGCTTGGCGAGTCGCAGCTTCAGAGCAGCATCGGCGCGGTCGAGGAGGACTTTCATGACGGATGCATGTTTGCAGGGATGTACTGAGGCGGTCTTGAGAGGGTTCTCGAAGAAGGGGAAGTCCTCGATGGTGACGGTCTTGTCCTTGTAGTCTCCGACGATATCCTCCATCATCTCTTGTGGTTTCAGTGGAACCGACGTGGAGCCGTAGCCTGAGAGATATAATCGCGGTGTTCGGTAGTGGGCGGAGTATGTGATGTAGAGGGTGTATGTCCGGAGGGGCCTATTGGTCTCAGTCAGTCTGTAGAGCGCTGGCAGCGGGCGGGCACACTCACGCCTTTGTATTTGAGTCGGCTTTGGGGTCTCTTATGATGGCTTCCTCGTCGTCTTCGATATCCTCCATGTCGGGTATCTCGTCATCCTCCTCTGCCGCGCCTAGGTTGCCGCTCTCATCGACCGTCCGCACGTCGCGCACCTT